CCACCCCCTCCCCCCCCTCCTCCAAAGGTGGTGATGCAAGCGCAGGGGGGCGGGTGGATTGGTTCCACTTGATGTGGCCCTTGACATGTACGGATACTCATACATATATATATGTCGTCCTAAGAATCAACGGTCACGATATAGGAATATGATAATCTGCATGCGAATAATTCGTGGTGATGAGTCTGACATATACTCACGGGGAACAAGCATGGAGAAGGCGCGGAAGAGAGAGTGTGTGTGCGGAAGAGGGAGTAGGAGAGAGAGGCCGGACCAGAGAGGCCAGGCTGGACAGACGATTCAGTGGACCGAGATTCTTAAAAGGTTGGGGGATAATATGGAGTTGGGTGTATTACCACCACTGTGCCACGATCTGGCACTTGCTACAAACTGAGTCGTAATAGTACTGGAATGCTGTCGGACGTCACGGCCGGCACAATGTGGAATAATGTGCGTCTGGTCTACCGGGGCTGTTCCGAGTAGTCATTCAATGATCAGAGTGATAGAGAGCAGTGGGAAAAGATATCGGGGGGTTTGGGGTTTGGGGTTTGGGGTTTGGGGTTTGATGACTTGGTGTATGTTATCGTTATTTATATCGTCTTTTTTTTTCCCCTATAAAGGGAAATCGTGATTGGGAAGGTGTCTGTGGGGGGATCAGTCACACTGAAAAAGGTTTGCCCGATGTCCGCCACACCCTGCTTTTGCTCTAACACATTCCTCTCTGGGGGAGGCCCTCACGGTCTACTTCACATCGCCGTGTCTCCTATCACTCATGGATGACCGGCCGCTAGACAGCAAATGCCCCCAATGCGGTAATCACAGTTATATGAAGGACCCTGAAGACGGACATCCCGTCTCACGTCCGGAATTCATAGACCTCCTACGACGGTAGCTATCTCAGAGCCTAGACAAGAGCGTCGGGCTCTCGGAACGGAGGATGCCTGTGGTGCCTTGATTCAGAGGTAACGCTGCTGCAACAATAATGGCTACACCTTTACAGCTAAGGGTGCCGTTCCTGGGGGACTCATGGTGGATGTTTGACGGCTCAACGTGTTGCAAGACGCCGATGAAAAGATGGAATTCTTGATCGACTTTCGATCGCGTCAAGCTCATACCGGCCAAGAGAGCTTAGGCGCCCCCAGTGCAATCCCGCCCGATAAGTGGAAGCGGCTCGTAGAGACAGGAGGAGGAGAAGCCTCCTCGCCGGCGAGCAGGAAGAAGAAGAAGAAAAGTCGCTCCTCCTACCCGCCCGCCCATTCAGGAGGACGACGGTGACGTGCAAAACTCTCTCTCTCCCTCTTCTCTCTCGATCGCGGCAGAATCGTTGGACAGGAAGGGATGCGATGGCAACGGCGTGGAGGATGCGGATAGCCGAGATGATTATTAATAGGAAAAGTGAACAAGGCTGGACGCGTATAGGTTGGACGGCGTGCCATTCATGCCTCAGGTCTACACTCGATGGGAGTTGAACAAGATCGGTTTACCTAAGCTTGAGATGTATTGTGTATTGTCTGATGGAGGCTAAAGGGGGGGAGGAGTAGAGGTAGAGATGAAGTGACATGATGAACTCGCCCATCCTGACCAACTTGCCCGTATGGCCGTATGTATATTCTGCTATGTCAAGTAGTAATATTACTGACCGCTCAGAAGGTACGGAGTACTCCGTACATATTTTCTTGGCAAACTGTACAAGATTACTCGGTACTCGTACGTAGTGATAATACGGTAATGATACATGCTAATAATAATGCCTGCTCGGCGGCGCGGGACGCATATCGATACACGGGCGAGAAAACCGAGCTCCACTGCTGGCTTGACGCGTCTCATGAAGTTCACCATGCTCCCAGGGTTGATTCTCCATGCGCATGCTCTATTAATACCCTCCCGACCCATTCGATCGTAAAGTCACCGCGCCGGTTCCCGCCACGCGAGCATACGAGGCGGCATCTCTGTGCACAGACAGCCCTCTGCGATCCATCCCGGTCATCCAATCAATCGGTTCTCTTTCTGGTGCGGGAAGTAGAGGACAGCTACGAGCGAGTACTCACTCGTGATTCCGAAAGAGGCATCATGGGTGGACCCAGCAAGAAGCGCGGCGCCAGCGTCATCGACGACGCAGACCCCGGAGACCCCGGGGCACCAGCGCCAGCCACAGCCAAGAAGAACAAGAGCGCGGCAGCGGCTGCGAAGCCTGCAGGCAAGGACGGCGAGGGCAACCCCTTCTGGGAGGTACGTCGGAGAGCCCGCAGAGGGCGGGCAGTGTCGGCTAACTCTCCTCCCATCCTTCTCCTCGACGGCCTAGCTCTCCAACAAGCGACGGGTGGGCGTGTCCCAGTTCAAGAACATGTGCTTCGTCAACGTGCGCGAGTACTATGAAAAGGATGGCAAGACGCTTCCCGGCAAGAAGGTAACGAATCACCATCCCGAAACCCGCAGGGCCTGAAGCTGTAAACGTCTGCATGCGAGACCGGCGATGCTGATGACGATCCGCGTGTGCGTGCGCGCAGGGCATCTCCCTCTCGGTCGAGCAATACGTGGCGCTCCTCAAGGCTGCGCCGGGAATCAACGCTGCGCTCCGCGAGCTCGGCCACTCGGTCGACGACGTCGACGTCGACGCCGAGGAAGCGCCAGCGGAGAAGGAGAAGAAGAAGAAGAAGGCCAGAGACCAGTCGAAGTCGAACATTGAGGCGACGAGCGACGAGGACAGCGCCTAACAAGGTCGGATGGAGGGGAAGGTGAGGAGAAAGAAGAAGACGAAGAAGAAGAAGAAGAAGAAGAAGAAGAAGAGATAGTGTTATGATGAGATTTGCTGGGGAGGTCATATTCGCTGCCGTTCCTCCGACGAGATGGACTACTGGTCTGGTCTACGTGTACGGTACGACGCTGCCATGCGATGGCGGGACCTCGGATCTGTTCTACCCAAGCAGTACGAGGTCGTTGCATCTGCCATGCTAGCTCTGCCGGGAAGGAAGAAGAGACCGGAGTGAGGCGGCAACCGACGTGAGGTGGCAGCCGAGAGAGCCGGCTCCTCACCCTGGTTCTGCATCCGGACGGCAACATGAGAGGAAAGAGAAGATGCGTCGGACTCGCGACATTGGCCGTGTGCACATACCTATCCGTACACGCGCATGCGCACATACAGACACGCACAGCCCTGCGCAGAAGATGGCCTGCTTGCTTCTTTGTGTATATGGACAAATGCAATACTGCCGAGTGCACGTATCCGTACTGCTGAACAGCACGCGCTTGATCAGATCATCAAACATCACATGGCTCGAGAAGTCTAGAACGGCGAGAAAAAAGAGGAAGAAGGAGAGAGGAAAAAGCAGGGGCGTGGCCGGGAAAGCCAAGACGTGAGATCCGGGGAACCCAGTGCTAGCGGTCCAGACGGGAATGCTCGGCAAGAGCCAAACTATGGTACATGCGATACAGAGAGAGAGTATTGCCGACCGCAAGCAGACCTGACACGATACGAGCACGAGACAGCAGTATCCGGGCGTGAAACGCTCGGGTTCCTACCTAGGAAGATGGATGTGTTGCGGAGTAGCTGTGCTCGTATGACTACCAGCTGGGAAATGAGGCGGGCGAGATCTACTCAGAAAGTCGGACTGAGGACCGACATAGGCCTCGATGTCTGAGCGCATCATACATATACATATACATACATATATGTATATATGTATATACTAGAGTTGTTTACCAAAAGGTCGACCCTGTACATATCAGCTGAACACAACATGGAGCCGATGTACTCGTAAAGCGGCCCAGACATTCAAGAGGGAAACCGGCACCGTCCTTTGCGCTGTTGCGATGGGATGGATGGAGGCCGTCTCAAGTTCTCAACACTATGAGTTCCCAGGCGAAGAGAGAGGCGTAATATATCCATCCGTAGGAGCGCTGCAGAACTCCCTGAGATGGTACCCCCTCTACCCCCTGTCAAATCTACCTCCCCCACCTCCCTCCCCCGAATAGCGATCTTCATTTGCTTAGCGGCGTACGGAGCGATACATGCAGCGCCGTAACGGTACAGGTGTGCTTATCCACCCTCCTCCTTGAAACTGCATGTGCCTTTTTTCGTCTTGTTCGACCTGTCAACTTGTATTCCGTCCAGCCTCTTGCTCTATTCTGGTCTCCCCCCCCCTTCCCCCCTCTCCCTCTACCTCTTTTCGCCGTCCACTGTTTTTCAACTCGCCCCATCTCTCTTCACACAATCTTGCTCCCTCCCCGTCCTTGTTCTGTTTGCCATCGCACTCTTACGCGTCACCTCCCCTCTCGAGACGAGTCTGCGGACCGACAAACCGAAGAACAGCGAGAGAGACGGACGGAGAAGGAGAAGGACGGGAGAGACGATACCCCGACGGGGCGGCCACGCGACGCCAGACGTCTTTTATGAATCGAGCCCCCCATCGTCACCTCTGCCACACTACGCGATGGCGTGGTCCGACGCTTTCCGACGCTACGAGTCGGTCGACGACTACGAAGACGTCTGGGTCCCCCTAAACCAGGCACACAACTACAGCCACTCTGCCAGGAACGGCCGGACGGAGTACGAGGAGAAGGATCACGTCGTCGACGACGAGATCGAGGCCCGGCTCAACCAGCACGACGACGAGGACGGCGGCGAGGACAGCCAAGGCAGGAGGAACGGCGACAACGATGACGTCGAGGCCGGCAAGGAGGGGGCCGACGACGAGGATGACCTCCAGGAGACGCGCGGCATGCTCCAGATGCGGGCCGCCGAGTACAGCGTCGACGGTCTCCGCGCGGAGATGAGGTTGGCAGGTGACGGAGAGACGCCCGTCACGTTGACGAGTGCCGAGAGTGAGATCGCCATCCTTCTTCCCCCATGACACCAAACGTCCCTCGTGGTGGTGCAGAGAGGATCTGTCTTATTTTATCTTTGCTGATGAATCATGGCGGGTTTCTACAGTCAAGATCAAGCTCATGAACAAGGCGATCCAGGACATCGGTATGGGCTCCTACAACTGGCAACTCTTCATCGTGTGCGGATTCGGCTGGTTTGCAGACAAGTAAGTTCCGAAACCAATCGAGAGAGAGAGAAGTTTGGAGAAGAAGAGAAGAAGAAGAAGAAAGTGGGAAGACGAGACGGCCTTCCCAACGTTGACGATTTCTTCTTCGCTACCAGCTTGTGGCTTCAGGGCGCATCGTTGACCCTGCCATCACTGTCGGCCGAGTTTGACATTTCGGAAAAGTCGGTGCGGTACACGACCAGCGCCCTCTTCGTCGGCCTGTCGCTGGGCAGCTTCGCGTGGGGCATCGGGTCCGACGTCGTGGGCCGTCGCCTCCCCTTCAACGTGACGCTCCTGATCGCCAGCGTCTTCGGCATCTGGTCCGCCTACGCGCGCACCTGGGGGTGGGTCTGCTTCTTCTACGCGGCCCTGGGCTCCGGCGTGGGCGGCAGCCTGCCCGTCGACGGCTCCCTCTTCCTCGAGTTCCTCCCCGGCGCGTCGACGTCGCTCCTGACCCTGCTGTCGGTGTGGTGGCCCATCGGCCAGCTGGTGTCGTCCCTCGTGGCCTGGTACTTCATCGCCCAGTGGCCCGTCGACGTCGGCTGGCGCTACTTCATGGTGACCATCGGCGTCATCACCTTCGCCATGTTCATCGTCCGCTTCTTCCTCTTCCGCCTGTTCGAGTCGCCCAAGTACCTGCTCAACCAGGGCCGCCAGGACGAGGCCGTCGCCGTCATCCACGGCATCGCCTCCCGCAACGGCACCAAGACCTGGCTCACCTCGGACCTCATGAACGCGGTCGCCGGCGTCGACCGCGACGACCCCCACGGCGGCGGCGGCGGCGGCGGCGGCGCCTCGGACCCGTCCAGCGTCGTGGCCGACAAGCTCGGAAAGCTGGCCGGCGGCGCCAAGGAGCTCTTCCGTACCCGAGACGTCGGCCTCTCCACCGCCCTCATCTGGTGGGCCTGGGCCACCATCGGCATGGGCTACCCCCTCTTCAACGCCTTCCTGCCGCAGTACTTTGCCCGCTACAGCGGCGGCGGCGGCGGCGGCGGCGGCGCCGACGTCCAGTCCGAGACGGCCGCCATCTCGGGCGAGGCCTACCGCAACTACGCCATCACGTCCATCTGCGGCGTCCCCGGGTCCCTGCTGGCCGCCTGGCTCGTCGACCGGGACTCGCGCTTCCTCGGCCGCAAGGGCACCCTCGCCTGCTCCACCCTCGTCTCGGCCGTCTTCCTCTTCGCCTTCGTCGTCTGGGGCCACTCGTCCACCAGCCAGCTCATCTTCTCCTGCTGCGGCGCCTTCTCCCAGAACATCATGTACGGCGTCCTCTACGCCTACACCCCCGAGATCTTTCCCACCTCCGTGCGCGGCGCCGGCACCGGCATGGCCAGCTTCCTCAACCGCGTCACCGGCCTGCTCGCCCCCGTCCTCGCCGCAAACGTCCCCGGCGACGCAGCCGCGACGCCGATCTACATGTCCGCCATACTCATACTCCTCGCATTCGTCGGCATCTGCTACATTCCTATAGAGACGCGTGGAGCTCAGATGCTCTAGGATTTTTCATTCTATAGAACCTCTTTCTCTTTTTCCTTTCACCTTTTTTTCTCGTTTACCCTGTCTACGGTACAATTCTCTCTCTCTCTCTCTCTCCTTCTCCTCCTTCCTCTTGGTTCCCTTTATATAGAATGCGTAATGATGGGAAATGGGTGGAACAGGTTTTTGTTTTGTGTTGTCTGTTGTGTATGTATTCCGATACTTACGGCGTTGGAGTGCTCGATATAAAAAGAGCCGCAAAAGAGATGAGGGGGGGAAAAAAAAGCTCTTGTACATTTATTGATTTATTGCAGACAAATCTCTAACATTTTCACTTGTCGATTTCTTTTTTTTTTTCAATTTTTAGATTTGCTTCACGACTCTATGATCCAGCGAGACATGTCCTGGAGGTTATCGTAGCAAAGCAAGCAGTATGCAGCATCTAAAACATCATCAACGAGTCCCCCTGGCACCAGCAGGAGCATCTATCCTCCTCCGCCTGAAGGATGAGCCCACGGCGTCACGAACCATGGGGTCGGCCCGGATGGTGTTCTGCACGAGCCACTCGCGCATCTTGCCGCGCAGGTTTGCGGCAGCAGCAGGGTCGTTCTTGAACGGGGCGGTCTCGACGTCGACGAGACGCGCAGCGTCCCTGTCCAGGTTGGCGGCGAGGGCGTCGAGACGGTCCAGAGACTCTGCGAGAGCGGCATCGGGGTCCCGGTTGCTGCTGGCAGAGGCCGAGGCCGAGGCCGAGGCCGGTTGCTTCCCACCGCCGCTGGCCTCGAGGTGGGCGACGAGGAGCGGGCCGATCTGCGACAGGGCAATGTACACGGTCACGGTGAGCTTCCGGGCGAGGGCGACGATCTGGAAAGGCAGGTAGGCGGGTCTGGAGGAGAAGGCGGCGACGACGCGGTTGACGGCATCGAGGAAGGGCGGGAAGCGCGGGCGCGTGACGGCGTGCAGCTCGAGCGACAGGACGAGGGCGACGAGCAGCCAGCGGTAGAAGCGCGCAAAGTCCATGTACCCCAGCAGGCCGAGGACGTAGACGGCCGAGGCGGCGACGGCGTAGTGCGGGAGCACGCCGTGCAGCACGCCGTGGGAGACGTAGTCGCGCACCGACGAGCAGCGCTGCCACCGCACCACGTCGGGCCCGAAGCGCTCGTAAGCGAAGCGCCGCGCCGCATCCTGCAGCGTCTCGCTCGCCGTCTTCAGGTGCATGAAGTAGTCGGCCGCTGCCTGGGAGCTGTCGCCCGTCCCGCCGGCCTTGTCCGGGTGGTGCAGGGCCGCCAGCCGCCGGAAGCGCGACTTGATCTCCCGCTCCGTCGACGTCGCATCCACCCCCAGGTCGGCGTAGAAGGACGACGCGGCCCGGATCTCATGGTCGGCCTCGTAGATGGTGTAGGCCAGGTACGCCGACACCACGAGCATGTGGATCACCCGCCTGTGAGAGCTGTACCGTGCTGTACCCGGAGTCGGTCGAGGGTCGCCGGCTCGGATCGTGATGCCGTAGTAGATTGTCTGAGCCCACGAAGTCGCGAGCTGAAGGTGGATGTTAGATTTAGGATGGAGGAGAGAGGGAAGGAATGAGAAGAAGAAGGAGAAGAAGAAAGGAAGGAGAAGAAAAGAAGGGAAAAAGAGCTTACCCCCGGGAGAAAGGCCCAGCCTAGCATAGAGATAAAGCTGGTCATTGTCGGACTGAAGCTTTGGGCTGGACCGCCCTTGCTATGGTCGCGTAGCTGCAGGGGACGGAGGGGATGGAGGAGCGACGATGGGTACTCGGGTGTGCTCTGCGTGCACAGTCGATGTCTACCTCGTGGGGCAGGGTGCGTCGGGTGGTTGGTGACGTGACGGTGGTTGGTGATGTGATGTTGCGTGGGAGGGGGGAACTGGACACTTTTTTGACCTGTTCCTGGCGGTTAGCCCGGGTTTAACGGCAAGGCTGAGAGGTGCTATGCCCGGGCCGGTGTTAGGGGTTGGCAGGCGCTGAAGGGCGCTGGCGGTTGGGGCTGTCACTGGCCGGTAGCCCGCCGGGTGGGAGCTGGGAGTTGCCGGTCTCAAAGCCTCGCATGACGCTCTAGTACCACCGCTACTCACTGCTTACTACTGCTACTTACTACGTTCTCAATGGTGCTATATGCACTAGGGAGTGATGATACTTGGTAACCTGGAGCGGCTGAAGCAGGATGCTATGAAAGTCCAACGATGGGATTCATAGCACTCTAACCATGGAGAGTTAGCTGCCCAGTACGTCGCACCCGTCCTGTAACGCTGCCTGATCTGACGGAACATCGGCCAGCATGGGGAACACCCCATAGTCATGCATCATGTACATGTACGTACATGCACCCATATCTGATGCAAAAAATAGCACTATCCGTGGTAATGATAGTGGCAGCAGGCAGCAGACCAGCAGCACTATTACGTCTATGCAATATTCCGTGATACTGTAATACTGTACTACTGCAATACTGTACTACTGCAATACTGCAATACTGCAATACTGCAATACTGCAATACTGGCTCGTGACAAGTATTAAAGTATTGATAGCGGTGGGGGGGGGGGGGGGGGGGGGATGCCCGGAATCTCTACTCGTAGGGTTCCACTTGACGAGTCGATTCACATCGCTCACTCACGAATCCTAGATGGGACAAGAGGATAGATGGATAGGAGCCACGACATGTGAGTTGATGCTAGTCAGATGGCGGTAACAGGAGACGGACCATCCTCTCCAGTCTCGGCAGGGAGAGATCGAACCCGTCTCTCCTGGGAGTCTAGGACATTGGCGACACCACCTACCCCGCCGCACAAGGACAAGCCGATGAGAAACAGGCAGCGAGGACGGAAGGACGGTAGACGGGGAGGGCGACAAGGAGAAACAGAATCTCGGGTCAACTTATCAAGTGTGTCGTCGTCTTGGTGTGCGGGTCGTCTGAGGCCTCCGGCTGCACATGCGCCCACTTCACGGCCATGGCGCCGAACCCAAGCCTCCAAGGGGGGGGGAGGGAGACGGGGGAGTCGTTGTCATTCGTCGGCATCTTCGATCCGTCTCGGTTTCTTCTTCTTCTTCTTCTTCTTCTCTTCCGTATCAAGAGTTGCACTACAGATTACAGGTACGTAGTAGTATGCACGTATGACGATTGATCAGAAGGGCCGGAAACAGGGGTCATGTAGCTGCAGGGCTGTTCCGGTCGAGTCCTTGCATGAGAATAAGTAATAATCGGCGTGTGTGAGGCCTCTTATGACGATGGTGGTGATCACCGATGGCTACCCGTAGTGATACTCTCTAGGTATTGATATTGCATAGGTCAAGACGGCGTCAACTCTTTGGATGACAAGTTGATGGTAGTAGTAGTAGTAGTAGTAGTAGTAGTAGTAGTAGTAGTAGTAGTAGTAGTAGTAGTAGTAATAGTAGTAGTAGATGTGTACATGATATGCAGATTATCAGTACTGATATACATACGAGTATGTATCTCTCTCTCTCTCTCTCTCTCACGCTTCGGTGACAAGTCAAGATGCCGTTGATCCGAGCGGGGAGTCACTACAAGTACTACTTGTAGTATCAATCCCAAAGAGGAGAGAAGAAGGGAAAAGTCTCTTACATGATGAGAAAGAGAGAGGATGAGAGGATGAGAGGATGAGAGAGAGTGAGAGGATGAGAGGATGAGAGGATGAGAGGATGAGAGAGGACGAGAGAGATGGAGAGAGAGCGGAAAAGAGTAGAAAGAAGTGACGGAAAAGAGGAAAGAAAGAAAGGAAAAGATGAAGAAACAAAAAGAAAGTGACAACCTGCCCCATGTAACGGATAATACCTGATGTGGGTTGCCTCCCTCTCCGAGCCATTTCTTGGCTCCTTTGGCTTCTAAAAAAGCGGCGCAACACACGCGAAGCTCGCTTGAAACGGCAGATTCTCTCACTTTATCCGCACGACAGAGAGAGAGAGAGAGACTTGGCTTGGCGGGGGAGAAAGGAAGGGACTATGAGTATCCAGTAATACAATGACAAACCTCCCCTTGGGGTGTTTTTTTTTTCTCCCATCATAAAACAAACTAAACTACCAACCCATTATAATCATTACCATTATTATCATTGCCAGTTATTAGTAGTAATAATAATATTACCACTACCATCGCTATTTTCCTCCTTCCTTCTTCCTTTCTTCTTCTTATCCCCCCCCCCCCCTTCTCTTCTTGCTATTACGGGTAGTGCATATAGATACACACACACACTCTCTCTCTCTCTTCAATACCCCCTCCAGCCCATCATCAGTCATCGTCTTTCCCTTCTCCGATCGTTTCCATCTCCCCATGGCCACCTGAGCCTCTCGCTCCACTGGCCAGAGAGAGGAGGGATGCTTTTCACCCGCTGGGCGATAGCTGCCATAGCAGGTATGCTTCGATCCCTCTTCCATCCGAAACCATTCCTCTCCCTGCGTCTCCCTTACTGGTAGGCAGACAGGCAGACAGAAAAGAAGGGGAAAAGGAAGAAGAAGAAGAAGAAGACTGACTGACTGACTGTCACTATCACCAACCGCAGCCCTCGCTCCGTCGGCAGCTCGCGCCCGGCAAGATGA